TATATATAAAACGATCTCACTAGCACTTTTGACGTTTCTATATTAAAAGAAATCAAATATATTGTATTTCTTTTTTATTAGACCTATACTGGTTTGTGTTATTTGTTTCAGTTAAATTTGATATGAACACTATTCACATTCTGTAAAATATTGATTAAATTTTAGACTAATTCACAGCATTCAAACAAAGATCTATCGCCTTTCCAAAAGTATGGAGAAGGTATAAGGGCACTTCTGATTTTACCTGAACGTAAATTAATTTATATATCAATGAACTCAAGTATATACCAACCTGGGAAGATTATTATTCTGTTCAGTCATGCGGATGGGGTTAATGTTAGTATGCACAAATGATACAAGTGTTACATTACCGGCGTACACTCTTTAGCAAGTGCGTCCCTTAAAGCATGGCGGAATAATTTATCACTCCATGCTTAACGGATACAGTTTCCGTATAGTAACCCGGAAACTGCTAATATTTTAAATAAGGAATATTTTTGTCCTTTTTAGAGGACTAGTCACTTTTATTATACAATTATTGCTTTGAGAAAAATGCGTCTTAATTAGAGTAGACCTATTAAAAGAATGGTTTCATGAGTCTTATCAATCTTGATTACAATGTGATGATGAAGCTCATAATTATTATTGTTACATTAATATGGGTAAATATTTCTATTTAAATTGACCTACAAGATGTAATTACTCATTTTGTTTTTTTAGACTTACGTGGATTCTTGATTAATAATAATATTGTGTCATTGGCTGTAATAATAGGCCACATTATCTTACTTATTACTAATTATTTATGAGATCATTTGGTTAGGTGGTGCATTGCTTAAAATAAATAATTTAATAAACATGCTACCAAGCTAATTTATATTTGTTATTCAACTTTCCTAACCTTATTGTTTTATTAAATTCTTAAATTCATTCATTCTAATTATAAAAAAAAAAGATTTTATAGACATTTGCTATCGTACTCTTGAGTCTTCTATTGTTCTTTAATCCATTTCCAATTTTGTGAAAATTAGTATCGTAATATTTGTTGTTATATCCACTGGATCTTTTGTAGAACTAAACCGTCTCCTCAATGGGGATCGATTGACATTGTCACCCAGTTTAAATACTGTACTATATATAATACGGTAATATGTCTTAACAAAATCATCATGAGCAAAAATGGTTGTGCTTATAATAAGCTATTAGATCCGGGACACTTAATTCCTTGTGCCTACCAGGATATCTTTGTAGTAAGGGACCACCAATTATTTTCATAATTTTCGCAAAAGTACAACACAATACTATACGCTTTAGGGAGCGGTGAAAACAGTAAAGAACTGTTTATACTATGACGATATAGTCAACGATTTTCCTATGATTTGATTTGATTTGTGAAAATATTTTTGGTATCGTATAACCGATAAATCGTTATCAGATCGTGCTAGTGTAAACACTTATTTTCTATATGAACATTTTTTCCTATCGTTGATCGTTATCGTCATAATGTGAACAGGCCTTAGGCCTCTGTACTCGGTTGTGAAAGAGATAAAATGATCATCTCAAAATGGCAGTAATCATCATTTGATTGACTAGTCTTCAAAGGGAAGGATGGGGAGAGGTGTCATAGAAAAGAGTATGTTTTGTAGTCTCTCGAAATTTTTTTAAAAATGGATGACATTATGAATAATAATGTAAAACAATAATGTAACCGAAGCAATACTTTCTATGCATCCTGTTGTCTATTATTATCCATCAGAAGGCCATAATTATTTTAAATGTCTAAACAGTATTTTCTTAATTATATACCTTAACTTATATATGTGTATATATGTATATATAGGCCTATATATGTATATATATATATAATATATATATGTATATATATGTATTTATATAGGCATATATATATATATATATATATATATATAATATTCAGTTACGTAAGTCTTTGATTTTATTTACATTTTTCTATGCCTATCGTATTATATTTGTTGTACATCGATTGATGTAATTTGTGGGTATAGGGTAATTTGTTGGAGAGACAATAGTTTGTTGACTGGATGAACCATGTCTGATTATCGATTGTAGGTAAAAATAGGCCTTTTTCACGCTGCGGTAGACATCTTCGATCGATGACAAACAGTGCTGAGCAGCAAAGCATAACCAATAGAAATAACATAGCGTTTCGACCATATTTTCGGAGGTCATGTTACTTAAAAAATCATAAATCCTTAACGGAGGGTCGTGTCAACATAATTTTTTATATATTATTATATATTATATATTATTTTTTTAATATATATGGATGGCCTTCATTTCGATATGGAATTCTTTTTACAGTTGCAGTTAAGCTGTAAAATTGAGAGGGAAGATATAAGACTGTTTATACACTTAGCTTCGCTCCCGTCCCCACCACTGAGAGATCACGGGCGTTACGCCACTGATGGCTCACAATACAATCACCAATCTGTGGTGTCATCGTTTTTCAGTCTTGCACGGGGTCTCGAGTACTCCTCTCGTTATCTCAGAAGAAGGCTAGTGTTATTCATTATCAATGTTTTCTGTATTTCACAGATTCCTTCTACTGCAACAGGTTCTGCAGGGTTAATATACAAGCGATGTTCTAAATCGAAATACATCGCTCTCGTGGTAGAGATTGGAATGAGCAAAAAACAAGCAATAAAAGTGATGTCAACATTAGCATCTTATAGAATCATGATCCCAGTCACTGTGTTTGTGTACAGCGAGTTCGCTGAAGAATGGCCCGATCTTGTCAAATCCTGGGCAACGACCTATAACATTGGTCTACGTGGAACTCATCCATATCCACCCGGAAATTTTGAAAAAATGTCCCCCAATTGGATCAGAGAAGCTGTAGTAAGCGCAGAGTTGCTTCTTCATGAGCTCGGCATAATTCCAATGTATTACCTGTTTGATTCGGTTGAGGACGATAAAAACGTAATAGAAGTACTAACGAAACGAGGATTTAGAATTATACGACCAGAATCTAATTTCCCACCAAAATTTAGTAAGTAAATTAATTATAACTTTTACAACTAATTTATTAGGTCATCATAGATCAACCGAATCCGGTGGAATGTTTAGTTCATCAAGTCTCAGTAGGAGCAATACATTTTACCACAACTTTAAAAAGAAATTTAAAAAAAATAAGAAAATAAATTCTTTACTGGACAATGAATGTGGTAAAATATACAAATTAGGCCTATAGATTAAATTATTGTCACTCATTCGTTAAATATTAGAACATATGTTTTAGAGATGTCTAACATGCAATATTGGTTTTTTTTTATCTGTTTCACAGAACACACTTTAACTGTTGACAATTATTATAAATTCCGTGATGTCGAGAGAGTTCCTAAAGCGCTGAGAGTTATCTATGAGCAATTGAAAGCGGCAAACGGTGGAATACTAAGCCTTAACACAAACCTTCCCGATACTTTCATGAACCTTGTTTTCTTGCTGGATTATTTAGTTGAAAATTCTGGTAGTTCACTTACTTCGTTAGATAACTGTATAACTTAGATATACAGTTCAGCATTTGAAAGAATTTTTTTTTAAAGAAATTTTGAAAAAACGATATAAACGAGTGACGTCCCTGCTAACAATCTGACGTTGTGATACAGTTTATGTGGCACTATGAATACGTATTTAACGTAATTTCGAATTGAATAACGTTGATGGTTTTCATGCCGAGCTAACTAGTGTATTATACCTAGACCTCTGGTTCTTAATTAATTTGTTTGAACGCCAAATTATTTTAGAGTTGATCTAAAAAACGCCAATAGACATATATCAGGAATATAACCTAAATTTAGATGTGTTTACGTCTACCAATGGTCATAAATCAGGAAACAGGACTCTGCAGTCCTTACAATTTTAACATGTCTATGATAAAGTCTGGGCTGTTTTGTTAAATTTTGCAGAGCTAATAAGAATACCTTGGGAGTTTTTTTTTAAAGTTCTGTTTACAGGGTTTAACTTTAGATCTGAGTGGGGTAACCCCTAAATCATAGCACACAGTGAAGAATAGGACCCACGGAAAGTACCCAGTGATCGATTTTTGGTGCTATTTATTCCATTTATGGCCTACTGTATATCATCTTGCCCATTTTTAAACACTCCGTGCACATTACATAGGGATTTCATTTTTGTCTTTACTTTCTTGAAAATGTATTCATCGAACTTTTATCATGTTTTTTTTTTTCCATTATTTTCTTTTTCCTCACGGGGCAAATCAAATTGCCTCAGGCCATTTGACCCGCGGGCCGCCTATTAAGAACCAGGTGTCTATGTCCTCACAATCAAGTTTGTATGTGTCAAATACCAGTGATGTGGATTGGATGTGATTTGCCATCATTATGCCCATAAATTGGCAAATCACAGATAAGTGTTAAGAGTGGTAATGATAATGTAATATTCACGCAAAAAGGATTCTGATAGTTGTTTCGTTTATACAACGTTTTCGCACTGGTACAAGAATTGTTTGATTGCATATGTTTCCTCAACGTAAAAGAAGCGTGAACAGAAGACAACTCAAATCAACAATGAAACTTTCGCTTTTGTTTTTACTTCGTTCTGAACAACAATGCCGTAACACAAAGAAAGCAGTTTGTACAGCATCTAGGCTATGTTATCCATCAGAAAACATGGATTTGAAGTATCTTCCGTACCTGTGCAAGCTGAACAGAGATCGAGGGCCAATAAATGTTAAACAAGTTAGATCACTGCATTTCAGATATACAGTATGCCAAAAATTTGGGGAAAATTAAATTCAAATTTTGAATGCTCATTTAAAATGTTCAAACAAGTTATTAATTTCCAACTAGAAACAGATAAAAGAAATTGCTGATTTACAGAGATATTACTACAAATATCCTATGATTACCAGTCAATTTAAATGTTTATGCTAAAGAAAACAACAAATATAAAATACCTAACTGGTATACCTAATTAATGTAAACAGAGGTAATTATTACGCTTATTATTAGCTCATTTTTTTTTTATAAATGCTTGATAATTCATAGCTTGCTAATTGCAGGGGATGCTGGAGGGTGGGGAAGGAAGGTGACAGTGGGAGGATTCCAAAGCGAAGGGGACTTAGCTGACGAAAGGAGGTGATCGGGATGAGGTGATTTTTAACTACTAAAAATTGTATGTACAGCAAAGTGATGTAATGGAATTGATCAGCGATGATTCTAAATTTAGTAGTACACCATATGTTTACGACCTAAATTTTCCGATAGGCTTTTTTTTTATAATGTTTCTAATAAGTACCGTATATTTTATGTTAATCTTATATTTAATTGTAAAGTCTGGTAAATAAATAATGAATTGAATGTTGATGCAGCTGATTATACACTTGTAGGCACATTCCATCAATGAGGTTTACAATATTTGCTTTTCACCGAAGTAATTTATACGACAGTTGAGTAGCTGCAGTGTGTGCTCTAATTTATAGCCAACCAAAACCGTAAAAAATTGCAGTAATTCAGTAAATCAGAACACTATCATCAAATTTCGTACCTAAGTTTGGTTTTAAAACTAACGTCAAAAACTATAGAATAGCAAGAGTTCCGACTGCCGAGGTTTCTTTGAAACGGAATCCTATCTCGAAAAATACTGCCACGAACAAGTGGTAGGCTTAGCACTTTTTTAACGTTTCATTGCGTGCATACAAAATCAGGGCAGTCGTATTTCCTTTCCAATCATTGAACAAATTTTTGTATCAGTAATGTAATTCCTTGTTAATCAGATATATTATCATCATGTTCGTTAAACGTTATTATATTAAAAATATAATTGTCTTCATTTTTCAAATACTGTATGTCAATGTATTGTATTGTTTAGTCTTGTTATTAAAAAAAACAGTTGTTTTACTTTTTATTAAATTGTTATTTTTTTAAATAGATAGATAAAAATATGATGATCATATTCGGAAGAAGCTCTTTTTAAATACTTTGGCTCATAAGGATCATTTGTGAAGTAGTGTGTAATACTATGCCTACATTTAATAACATCTCGTAAGTTTAGTACAGGTATTAATAATCACCTGCAAAATCAAAAAATGACCTTAGTAATTGAAAAGAATGACACACCTAAGCTCGTGTTATTAAAAAAAATATCTTTCAGTAAAGCTTACTTTTTTGTGGTGCATTACCTGTAGTTAAGGACCATATCGTATCAACTAGGCCAATCATTTGTTTTAAAAAACATTTAAATTCTATTTACAGTTAAATGATTGTCAATAATTATAGAAATGCTTAGCTATATTGCTTATATGCGTGTGTATATACTGTACATTCGTTTTACCAAACCCATAGGCCTATATGGTTTAATGCAACACATTACTGTTAAAGTCCTGAATGCGCCACTGAATAGGTAGGCCTAGAAATCTGTCGGGTGTATGGTACAACGAATATAATTATTGACATCTTGACTTACTGCCTGATTGATTGATTCATTCATTCATTCATTCACCGATTTGATTTCAATAATTGATTTAAGGGGTTATGTGATCGATTAATATATTGATTGAAATAATGGTTTAAATTGTCTAGTTTGATTTATTTCATATTCATTATGAGATCCGTGGAGGCCCTTACGAATTGATAATGATTTGTGCTATGGTATACTTTTATAAGGGTGTGCCACCATTTGAAATGGAAATAAATGTTTCTTTAATTGAATTGCTAATGACTTTTCTTGTTTACTGCAAATAAAAAAAAAATCATAATATTTCATTTCGTTTATTTATTTGTCGCAAAAGCCCATTGACTGCTTTAGCCATATTTTACTCCATGACACCAGCATATTACATTTAAGTTCAAAGTTCAAAGTAATTTTATTGTCAATAATACAACAGGTAAAATTTAAATTTGATTTCCTCGGATACAAAAAGCCATGTTATTTTTGCTAAATAATAAGTTAACAGATGGCGCCTCATATGCTTTAGCCATATTTTATTCCATGACACCAGCATATTACATTTAAGTTCAAAGTAATTTTATTGTCAATAATACAACAGGTAAAATTGAAAAATTTCCTCGGATACACAAAAAAGACAAAATACACAATCAAGAAAGACATCAAAAAAGACAAAAAATAGATCAATAACAAGAGCAAAAACACAGAAAAATTTGAAAATCTGTACAGAGATAAATTACATCCGAGAGTTAACATAATTAAAATATAGCAGTTAAAATATCAACTGTTTAATTCTATTCTTAATTTAATTTACAAAATAAATTCCAGAGTATGACAGCATAGTTAAAATAAGAAAAAAACCCCTTAATAATAATAAAAATAATAATAATAATAATGATAAGAATAATAATAATTATAATTTAATAATTTTAAAATTGCAATTTAAATATCATTAGTTCAATTTCTTAATTTTATAAAACTATATACAGAATATTCCAAAGTAAGACATTCAACTATAAAAAAAAAATCAATCAATAAATCAATAAAGTATTACAGTTTGAAAATGATTAGAAATACCCCCGGTATTGCAGCTTAAAAAATTGCAGCTTAAATATTTATTAAAATTGAAAATTACACAGCCCGCCTCATGAAAAATATAAAAAGTACAAGAATGCAATTAGTAAAAAAATTAGTCCAAATCTGAAAGCATTCGTGTAAAACATACTGGTAAATAATAGAGTTTCCAGATGTTATTGATTATTCTATTGCATATGGTTTTCAGATTAAAAACAAAATAACAATCGTTGCGGGGGTGGGGGGTCTTGCATTGACTTCGGGTGACGAAATAACCAATCAGCATTCAATTACTTAGCTGTGAGCGAGCGTACGTTTCACGAGCAATGTTTTGAAACACGTTTGCTGGTTGCGGTTCATTATTATGAAAATTTTCGCCTGGCTAAACCCACTAGTCTGAACGCCCGGAAATGTTAAGCCGGGCTTAACTCAAGCCTGGCTATCTCCAAGTCTGAACTAGGCCTTAAGTTTTAACATCCAAGGGGCGGGACTTAGCGGAAAAGTCCATTCCACCAGAAACACTTGAAATGAAATTTTCTTTTAAGGGCTATGCTTGATACGATTACAACATGTGCCTATTTGAGCACTGTTACCTTATACATTTTTTTACACGCCATTTTTCTTTTCTTTCTTTTATTTGGCATTACCATGACACATACAATACATACAATATAAAATACATTAAAAACCGTTAAGAAGCAAACATTTAAGAGACGGGAACTATGAAAATAAATAAAAATCAGGTGTTAAAGATGCCAGGGATAACATAACAAGTTAGGCCTATTTAAAATGAAACGTTCAAAAGTGGTCCCTTGTAGATTATAAAGGCTAAAGACAAAACAAAATTAGGGATAATAATAGAGAATCTAATGGAAATAGAAGGAATATATTTTTACATTACATACATTGTGCTTGTGTTAATTTCCTGAAACTGAAATTCACCGAAGTGATCCGGCAGCGGAAACAATCTAATTGCTCATTTTCACTTTGTCGCTGTTCAATCGTTGTTATAGTGTGTCGTGGGTTTAATAACCGGGTCTTTTAAAATAGACTGCCTGTGTATTAAAAATATAATAATCATAATAATAATAATAGTAATAATAATAATAATAATAATAATAATAATAATAATAATAATAATAATAATAATAATAATAACTATTCAATACTAACAATTATTGTAATAAAATACTAAACATCAAGAACTGAAGAAGTGTACAGCACAATAGGCCTACACAGGTCCTTGAGTACAAAACATATAATTAAAATTATTTAACATTTTGTGTCAATTATTATTATTATTATTATTATTATTATTATTATTATTATTATTATTATTATTATTATTATTATTATTATTATTATTAACAACAATAATAATAATGATTAATAATAATAATAATAATGATAATAAT